CACTGCAGTATTTTAATCAGATTTAAGACTGCACTTAAACTCGGTCACTCTTGAATATTCACTTTTCTTAACTCAAGGTCACTTATGTCAGGATCCTGGGCTGTTGAGTTGTTCTGGTAGTTTGATTTGATTCTAGTTTCATTGTTATTTTGTGTTCCTATTTTGGTTAGATTTGTCTTGTTCCTGTTTTCCTTTAGGTCAGTTCTTCTTAGTGTTTCTAGTCTTATTTCTTGTTTATAGTTACTCCAGTTTCATTGGGTTTCTTTAGTGTTAGAATTATTTCCTGTTCTGTTTCCCTGTGTACTCTCCTTTGGCTCCTGTGCTACTTTCTCCTTCTCTCTCCACTTGCATTTGCAATCATTTAGCTCATCAGCCCAGGTTTTGGTTCAGCTTTCAACCTCCCCATTATTTAAGTCTCTCATTCTTAGTCCCTCCTTGCCAGATCCTTTCATCTACTCCCGTCACTTCCTTGCTCCGTGTTCTCCTTGTGGGTTGGTTTCCTTCTATGGATTTTTTGGGTTTGTGTTTTTGCCTCTGCTCTTTTGTAAGTTGTTCTTTGTTATTTTTCATTGAATCTTCAAATTCATTCAAATTCCATCTCTGTGTTTTGGTCCCACATCAACCATTTAATACACCATGACAACTTGAGCTTGAGGTCCTGGCAAGGTTAACAACTGTTCCGTCTTTTCCCCTTTTGTGAATAATGGCTCTTGCACATGTGCTGCCATCTGGACATTAGAATCACCACTTTTAAAAGGCATTAGCTAAAATTGGATGTTTCAGCTTGAAATTTAACAAACGAGACGGTACCTGTGAGCTCAATCAGGAAGTCAACTCAAACTGTGTTGCTGGAAGTCACTTTTGGGCATTACATGAATAGATATGTCTGATTCCATGGTGAGCCATTCAACTTTCACACAAAATGTACACATATTCTCTTGATGAATGATGGTTAAAAAGTGTTGAAGTTAACACCAAAACTCATTAAAGTGTCTTTTATGGAAACCAAGTACGTGTGTTAGTCCCAGACTATTAGGGTTAAAAAAAAAAAAGGTCCTACATACGCTTTTAAATTCTGAGGTTTTCAAGAAGATGAAAGACAAGACGCTACTCTTCCAACATAGTTTCACATGTTGACATTCATGATGTAACGGCTCTAAATTTATGTTCTCTTAACAGAAAGCAGCCATTTCACACACTACAAAGCTAAAGGTGCGTAGCGAACCCTCAGGACTATCTGACCTCACTGAACCCTTTAAGCCTCAGGCAGCACCATTCAGAAAGCAAAACGAGAAGATTATGTATCTCCTTAGTGCAACTTTGCTGTTTTGACGACACTAGGGGTGGGGGAACACCACAGGAAACCTCATGGTGTCAAAACTAGTTATTATAGGACTTGCAAGAAAAACAGCAACAGAAAAAGACCTCACAGAGAGGAAAAGGAAACACAGAGCCAAACGAAAATCCAATAGGCAGCAGACAACAGATGCTGTGGCAAGACAAACAGGTTACAGCAGTTACTAAATCTACTTATTGATTTAGTCAACTCACTGTCAACCAGATCTAGATTCTCACAACAAAGAAGGTTTTGCTTTCTGTAGGCTGCTTTAGTTAAATTAAGACATTGGTGATTCATGGATGAATGGCACTCTGGGCAAGCCCCTTTTTCTGTCACTACATCAGATAGATGCTCACTTCCCCCAACAAAGTTAGGTGTAGACTTATGCAGTTAAGGTAAAACCAGTTGAAAATTTTAAGGTTTGATATTAGAGATGTTTAAGTACTGTCTGGAGTGATTTAAAAAAAAACAAAAAAACAATGAAATAGTCATTTAAACTTGCATTGAAAAGTCATATCGTTCATGTGAAAAATCTCCCCTGAACTCTAAACAAATTATGAGTATAACATAATGATACGTTAGGAGTGGCTTTAAGAAGAGAAATAATTTTAAAAAATCAAATTAAAATTAATTATTACAATGTGCTATAAAGTTGTCTGTGAAGAAATCGTAGCATCACACGTTATTCTTGTTTTGACCAGGTTTCTGTCACGCTTTTGCATCTCTTTATGGGTTTCTTTTATTTGTTTCCTTTGTACGGCCATTGCTTTTATAAAAACCAGATGATGTCCTCAGCACAGACTTTCAAACAGGCCATTCATTAGTGAATGTGTTGCTTAGTCTCCGCAGTAAATGTTCCATACTTCTGCTATTTAGCCAAAGTCTGAATTGCTTTAAAACTCTTTCAAATGTCAGCATCCATCGCCATTATGGCCGCACTCATCTCCCCGAGCACCACTTCCACCCATCTCCCTGGATCTGGGAAGCATGGCTCAACCCATGCAGCATGTGCTCATGCAGAGATAAAGCTAAACATGGCTGATAGCTGGCACAGTACTCTGATACTTTGGAGGAAAAAGTTGTAATCCGGGTGTGCTGCACGCTGTCCCCTTGACATACGTTCAACACTCCATATCACACTCTACATTCAGCCTTTTGTCACCATCAGTCAAGCATTGCGACCACAGGTCAGTTCACTTCCGCGACCATTACCGGCACCTATCTGAATCTCTGGAAACACATCCTCACCTTCAGGCTCGTGCCTCCACAGAGAACAAGCAGTAAGAAACAAGAGGAGCGTGTTGCACAAAGCGAGGTCGTCTGGGACAGAACCAACACCAATGAGTCAGTGATATGGATGGGGAGGAAAAGTTCACATTAAGCAGTGCACAAGAGCTGATGGCTTGTGTTGAAATCCGTGACTCAGAACATCATTAACACACACACTATAACTGTTCAATCCATGCAAAGCAATCTTAGCTGCCTCATCTTTTCCAGCAGGGTTTGTTCTGGCGCTTGTTGTGCGATGTGTTCAGAAACTTGCAATTAACTGGACCTAATTGAGCCTGGAGTTCTTTGATGACAGAGTTAACAACAGGAAAAGTCAGTTGAATGCCACATCTATGCAACATTTGACAAAAGACTTGTGCTCAGAAAGTCTAATGAGGGTGTATTCAGGGGTTTGGGTTCCTTTTTTTTTTTTTTTTTTTTTAGCCCCCTGAAATAGATTAACCCCTTTAAGGATCCAGTAAAGGCTCACAGTATATAAAACGTCTTGTGAGAGTTGGCATAAGGTTTTGTTGGGTCTAGTATGTTGTAAAAAAATAAGAAAAATATGAGGGTCTGGCCAGTAGTCAGCAGATCAACCCATTTGATGAGAGCTCCAAGCAGAGGATGCAGAAAGGGAGGGGCAGAGGAAGAGGCAGAGGACAAGAGCTGATCTGTGTTGCAAGGGCTGATTATGCGTGTTACAGGGCCGGTTTCCTGGTTGTTGTGTTTGTGTTGGAGCGGGTGGCTCCAGGCAGATGTTGCAAATGAAGGAGGTGCTGTTGTGTGCTGACATAGTGGGGGAAAACAGTTCCTTAGGACAGTTGATTAGTGTTTGGTGTGAAGAAATTTTGACAGCAAAAAGCACACAAGATGTGGCTCATTCCTGAGCTTCATAACAACTTTGATTCTGTAGCTAAATGATGATCCAGAACAGGAAGCTGTAGTAGAGTCACTGGCTAAACTTTACATATCTCTCAAAATTTTTCTCTAATTTTGTAAGGAGAACTTTGCCCAATTTTATTGGTATATTTATTTGATTAACCAAAAAGAAGTGGCTCACTGCTCACACTTTTCAAAATTGCAAGTGATGAAAGGTGTGGCATACATTACCCCTGTAAAAACCCTCTGTGAATACATATTTTCTAACCTCGTACACCTAATTGGCTTTAGGTCTGGACTTTGACTAGGCTATTCTAACCGTGAAGAGGTTTTTGTTTTTTGTCTTCCGACTTAAATGTGAACATTTGTTCCAGTCTCAAGATTTTTACTGCATCTAAAAAATGTTCTTGATGTGGTGCTTGTGCATTGTGTACAGAAACTTGCAAGAGGATTGCTCTTCAAATAGTCCTACTTATTTTCCCATTAATTCAGACCAGCTTCCTTGTCTGTCACTTCCAAAGAAAAGAATATGTCATGGTGGTTATGTTGCAGCCTGGGTGATGTGCAGTGTTATTTATTAACCAAAAAAAACAAACAAACAAAAAAAAAAAAAAAAAATATATATATATATATATAAATATATATATATATATATATAGTTCAGCTTTTGACTCATCTGACCAGAGCACCGTCTTCAGCATTTGGAATTTTACCTATTTGTTTGTGGCTACCTGGAAACAGTTCTGTTTACGACTTTATATATTTCCTTTCCACTTCACAGCTATGGAATACATTGTGCTGTTGACAAAGTCAAAGGATTTGAACTCTTGCAAGGCATTGAAGCAATGGCAACACCAAAATCCCCCTCCAACTGTGTCCTCTGCTCACACACCAACAGTCCGTTCATTTGTCAATGTAAGCATATAAACACTGCCTCGACAGTCAAATTTTACATGACCTTTTACATTCTCTCTGCCATCTGTACACGACATTTGACACCTAAGAAAGTAATCACTCATTCCCATTAACACAGTATGTGCTGGTATACTGTGATGTACTGATATGTTTGATTATAAACCTTTAATAGGCCAAAATGGAAAACAATGAAAGGTGGGACATCAACTTCAATGAGATGCAACATTTATTTATTTTTTTTATTTATATACATATCCATGAACTTCTGTCCTGTGCAGTATTCCAAAACAATAAAACCAAATTTATAAGTAGCCCCATCTATCCTTTAAAAAACTTTCAGGAGTCAACCCCTTATCATCCATGTATTATGAAATACAGAGCTTATTTCAGTATGAGAAAATCAGAAAAAAACTGAAGCATAAACTACTTTAAGGGAGTTTCATTCAAGACATTAAAAGTTACATCATTGCGCAACGCAGAGGAAAGTTGTTTGCCAGGGATGTATCAGCTTAATTCCTCCCTCTTTTCTTTCCCTGTGACTGGTCGGTGCCTGTGTCAGTCAAGGGGGAGGGGTGCACCGCTAATTTCCACATGCCTGTATGTCAATTTAAGACTCAGACTGCGTTTTTAGTGTGTGGCTGACAGTAGCAGAGAACTCCAGCGTGCCTGCCTACATCCAGCAGAAACCCCCGGTGTTGGATTTTTGCTCGTTATCTGATCGGATGAGGCGCTTACTGGGACGCGCGTCTACCTGTGCACGCTGAATTTGATCTTTGTAGCCCTTTTGGATATTTCTGCCCCTCTAAAAAGGAAAACGCACACTTCTCAGTCCTATTTCGAGGTACCTTCGCTTTCGAAGTGAGGCAAAAAAACAAACTTTCCAGGAGCCCTGACAACTTTGGTCTAAATTTTGGCGAGTTCTTGTGCACAGAAGCGTTTCGATTTCACCACAGGAAACATGTTCGGCAAAAGCTCCGTTATGTTGCTGAGTCTCCTCGTTCTGGTGCGTGCGCTCCTGGCTCACGAGTGCACGCCATGTAACCTCCGGACATGTCCAGTCAAAGTCGCGCAAGGCTGCGAGGGTGGCCGGAGCGTGGCCAGGGATCCATGCGGGTGCTGCGACCACTGCACGCGGCTGGAGTGGGAGCCCTGCGGCGGCCAGGACTGGACGCACGGCTACTGCGCCCTGGGACTAACCTGCGCCTCTATCAACAGCACCGGAGCGGCCACTATGCCTGAAATTGGAGTGTGTAAACGTGAGTGAAACTAATTTTAAGTTTAAGCCTAGAAATTGGAGAAGGAAAAAAAAAATGTTTATGTTATTGCTAAACACCAGCTCCAAAGTTTGGCAGTGATCCATTGATTGTAAGCGGGTTGAAAGCATCACTATTCATGTGTCAGTCCAGCCCAGGCTGCAGTGACCATCTCCTGTTTACCCTTGTCTGGGGCAGTTTTTCATGTCTGAGGGGCTCTTGACTGCAGGAGAGGGGAGTCATGTTCGGCTTCATTCACTCTGAGCTCAGCAACATGACAATACATCAGCATAGACTTGGCACAAGGTCTTTGCTCTGCTGGCAGCAGGCACCGTCCCTTCTGCTCCAAAAACATTTGAGACAAGAGGAAAACACAGATATGACCATGTGAGTGTCATAACTAACCCAGGACCATGTAACATTCTTCATGATATGATAACCTTGAGTAAAACTAATGCAGTTAGGTCATCATTTTTAGGCAAGTATGTCAAACAAAAATAAAATTGCAACATGATATAATTAACCTAAAAACTCTTTTTTTTTTTTTACATGTCTTTGCTATTTTGTTTTTTAAATGATTCACTTACTTTACAAGCTCTCATTGGATAGAATGCTAAAATTATATTGCTTTTGCACTCATCATGGTGCAACACAGACATAAGGTGAAAATAGCTGGTCAGTTTGTCAGGCTATCTGCTCTGGTAGCCAGCCTGCATTTAAGCACAGCCCTTAACTTGCTAATGGGGTATTTAAAACAGTGTTGCTGAAATAAGAAAGCTAAATGGCACTTCTTTGATTTCGAAGCTACAACTGTTTGTGTTTTCAAACAGCTTAGATTGTCTTCCCTGTAAGCAGGGAAGAATATAGTAGTCTTCTTTTACTTAGCAAGAGGTGGGGAGGGGTAACTCTGTGTTACTATGTTCTTAGCGCCTGGGTTACTCTGGCACCTTCTCTGGCATGTCATTTAAAGTACTTGTGACTATTTAACTAGTATAAGAGACGTTTTTCGTAGTTTTGAAATCACAGCTGCTTTAAACCTTGATGAACCTTATTCCTGAGTCATGTCTGGCATTTTTAATCGGGAAAAACTTTGTGGTGTTACTTTCCTGTCTGTACTCAGTCCTCCAAGTGTGCCACTAAATGTCTGCAAACATGACTTCAGATGTTTTTTTTTTCTTTGCACTTGTTGAAATTCACAATGCTCCTCTGTTCTGGCTCCACCGAGGAGTCGGGCTGTTATGAGGTGCTCATTTTACGCACAATTTGAGTTACTTTCTCAACCTCAAATCAGCTTGTAATGCTATGAATGAAGTCTGAAGTGCTGGTCTTTCATTGAGGAACAAACAGCTCATGGACGGACCCCCTCCAGCTGCACCACCTGCAATCTGTCCAGCTGGTTTGTGGATGATTGAAGGGGACTGGCAGGTCTGTAGGAGAGAGTAAGCAGCTCTTAGTGGGTGTCAGGATCTCCTGACCCTTTCTCCTTCATCATCCTTCTGTAGGGTGGTCCAAGTTAGGGCTTTTTCATGGTTCTCTGCCCCCCAAACCCCATCCCTCCACCCCCCAGGTGTTCCCAGGAGATGCAGGTGCTGATTATGCTTAATATGCAGCCGTCTGGCGGACATCACCTTCTGCGTCTTAACAGCTTTGGAACAAACTGGAGACCTGACGGCTCCTCTGACTGAGTCATACTTCTTCGGCTGCTGCTGACCTCTTAAATCAGACAAATGTACTCATGCAGCCTTGATATCCCAGAGGGGTCTAGGTGGGGGTAAATCAACACCTCCCAGTGTGTTTTCAGGGGCCGTACTGAGACTGCTGGGGGCTTATCCCAGATTTTGCTCCCTGAAGCTTCGAAGGGCCTTATAGTGATTAGCCCTGCAATCAAGAGCGAGGGTAAATGTTTCCGCTTTTCTAAACCCCTGCTTTTGCTGTTACAAGTTGGATTTACCGGGTGGCCAAAACGTAGTCAGTGTGCAAGGTTAAAAATGACATGTCACACATGTTTGACTTGAACTAGAGATGCGTGGCCACTTGTTTTTGTTTTAAGCTCTTATCTAATGATATAGCTTTAAGTTCTTGAACAGTTGTAGTTAAACTGCATTGAGAGCATTTTCTCCAGGTCTCCATGCTATGCCTGGTTATTAAGTCATGTCTGCAAGAGAGAAGGAAGAGTTAAAAATGGTTTTACTCAACAAAATAGTTAAAGGCCTGTTTTTTTTTTTTAAATTTAAGTCAAAATTTACTGCAATTAGGAGCTGTCATTACTAAACAGCAGACGTTTTTAGGTTTGTGTTGCACCAGTGGCCTTTGTTCAACAAAATATTCTCTCTCTCCTGCTATTAACTTTTAACCTTCTATTAATATACAACATACACCACATTAGTGCTGTGTCTCTTCTTTGAGAATCTACTCTGTCTTCTCAAACTCTGTCAGTTGTGGCAAATGGCCACTTGTACTGAGTCAGGTCCTGCTGCAGGTTTGTTCCTGCTGAAGGGGAGAATTTCCTGTCTACTGTCCTCTTTTGCTCTGCTGTGAGAAAGGTTTGACTGACAAACACAACCACCAGGTCATGTCTGCATATTTCCAGTAAACAATAGTCAACCAACAGTTGCTCGGCGACTCTGTTGCTATATTTAGCAACATTTCAGACAAAAATAAATAAATAAATAGTATCAGTCCAAATTGGAATCGGCAGATCAGGCTTTTTAAAGATCAATAATCGGGGACTGGCCAAAAAACTGCAATTGGTGCACCTCTATTAGAAACTAAAAATCCAACATTCAAGCACCTGTTTCGAGAAGATGTTACCAAGCCTGTTCATCTGATCTTTCAGATAATGAATTATTCTGATGGTAGAAAATGTCCCTAGAAAATATTATGAGTGATTTGTTCCTCCCAAAACAAGTTTAAGCTTAAGCATACCATGTCACCGAATCCCTGTTTCACAGGGACGTTATGTCCACTTCACTCCATCGCATGCTTTCTACTTCTCCCTTCCTCTGGTATTATCTAACGTTTCAAAGACTTCCTTTTAAGCTCGCTATCAGCCTCGGGCCCTGTAGAGGTCAGTTTTCCCAACCTGGTCCTGGATGCCAAGTCAAGCAGTCTCAGTAGCTAAGAGAGGAATACCCCTGCAATGAAGCCTTATAGACTTTGGCAAGAGTCGTGCCAGACCGGAAAACAAATAGCCAGAAGGGACTATAACAGATTCGGGTTGAACAGAAGGGAACTTGAAACAAATAGGGCTCAGTGGGGGGTCAAACTAAAATTAGTGAAGACAATGCGTTCAGTGTCCAGCCTTTCATTGACTGTTTTGACTCCTACCACCTTACATACATGCCAGATTTAGCACCCCGCACAGACAAGCACTATCACCATCTCGAATGAAAATACCCTTGTGGGTGCAGGAAAGCCTCAGAATGAAAAAAATAAATAAAAAATGTGTGGATCATTTTAGGGTGAAGGGAAATTATTTCGACTAGGTTTATTGGGAAAGCAACTTGTGCTCTGCCAGTTCACCGGCCATCTGGGAGAACCATTAACAGAGTCGGCTGGCTCGGGTTAAAGGTAACATTACCTTCAACTCTGTCAGCTGGCCAGATTTCACTGTGGCACTTATGGCACAGGAGTCACCCACAAAGTTGGCTTCTGCTACAGTCACATTCATGCTGATTCACTTTAGCTTTTCTCTTTTTATAACAGCAAGAGACAGCTATGCTCTCAGGGAGACCTATCTGCTGTGGAATAATAAGATCCACATACAATGCCTTGTGAAACTATTAGAACAGCTTGAACTTTTTTATATTAAAGCCTTTTTAATAGCACCTGCTATTAAAAAGCAGGCATTTTAATGGGTTTTAATGCAATAGTGAAAACACAATTGAAATGGAGCTATTAGCGAAAGTTCAAGCTGGAAGACTCCGCCCCCTCCGTTCGCTCATGGCCGTCATGCTCATCTCTGACCTCAGCGCTGGACCTCACCCGGCGCGTCCAATCATCAGTCAAGCTCTGCATAAAAGGATCCACACCGAAGCCGTCAGCCGGTTCCCAGCTGCGTTCAACCCACCACCGTCCCTTCTCCACCCGCATCCTTCGGCTCTCCAGGATGGCACCCTTTCCTGACCTCCACCGCCAGTGTCGGGCCCCGGGGGAGAGCATCCCTAATCAGTTATCGGGATGTTCATCGAGTTCACATCAAATCTCAGCTCAGATCAGCTGCCGGGCCGAGCGCCAAAGAACTGTTATTCATTCCTGTCATTAAATCTTTTAATTGTTCCTTTTTCTCCATCTGAGTCTTTCCAGATTGGAAATAATGCATGGTTTTATAAATCTTTTACAAGCAAAAGTTTAAAAGTTGTGGCATAAATATGTACTTAGTCTTACAATTAGCCATGCACTTTACAAATCTGCCCATTATGAAAGTGCTTAAGAGAAAAGCCATTGTTGAAATAAACCCATGAAGACGTTCACTGTCAGTCTTCTTTTGTCGACATGCATAGAAGAAAACTAACAACACACTGAAAATAGAATCCCATCTGTAAAAACAAAATAGTGGTGGCAGCATCATGCTGTGGTGATGCTTTTTGTCAACTTTGAAATCAATGTATCATCTTCCTTCTACTCTACAATTCTATTCTACATCGTTTTGTTCTATCACTCATTGCAATAAAATATATTGACATTTGTGGTTGTAATATGGCAAAATGGAAAGCAAAAAAACTTTTCAAAGGCACTTTGTGTTTATATGCATGGTGTGTTTGTTTCCAGCAGATTTAGGCTACTTTTTTGTCTTTTAAGTCAGATAAGTATTTTATTCTTCAAATGCATTTTCTCTTTGTGTTGTGCTTTTTTGAAAGCAAGGAGTGCTTTAATGAATAACAGGCATACAGTTTGTCTCATCATGTTTATCCCCGTGGAGCTGTTATGTGCAGCAGTGAAGGATGGCAATATCGGGGTATATCTATGCATGTTTATTCATGCATGAAAGGTGAGGGAACACTGAGAGTAGTGTGTAAACTGAAGCCCTTTAATCCCAGGATCCTGCTGGATATTAATCTCCAACGTGACATTCCATCCATGCGTAAAGTTTTGTCCAAATGGGGAGTGTAAGCCAACTTGGGGTGAGGCACAATGAGAGACGCGGCTGCAGGCGGTTGTTAGTGTGAGTGACCACAGTTCAGAGGAGGTGTTGCTGCAGCCGCCAGAGACGCAGACCCTGGGAGGGCCCCATGCTGTGGAACAAAAGCAAACAAATGGGCTCAGTAGCTGTAGTAGTGTGGCACAAAGAGAAGGGAGGAGGGACTGGAGCCCAGAAATACAGTGGTCACTTCAGTCTTGTCTGTGCCAAAGTAGTGTCTTGCAACAAAGGGGTTGTAAACTGGACCAGTATTTCTAACTCTGTCCAGTGTTTCTTTGAATTCATAAAGTCAGTTTTAAATGGACAACTAGTCTAACACTTTGGTCTCTTTAATGTCTCCCGCAGTTCTTCCTGAACACCCAGATGCAGGCCTTGAGGATGAGCGCTGTCCTCTAATAAGGGGCTGCGACAAAGCGGGAGCTGAATGTGTGTGTGATGCTCGTTACTCCTGCTTGGGAACTTTTACCTACCCAGACCAAGAGACCTGCATGAAGGCCAGCAAGTCAGGTGCACCCTAATCTTCCCAATCTCTCTTTCTAACTTAAATAACAGAGCGAATAGATCAGACAGCAGTCTGTGAATTAGAGTGCAGAATGATCTCCAAAGATTTAAGCTAATCCGTAACAGATGTTGCTCTACGATGACTAAGGCTACTTACATTTCCTAGCGATGACACGAGTTCCGGCTTTCTGTGGTGGTTCCCCATTCACTTCTGAGCTCCGTCGGTGTGTGTGATTCATTGATGACTGTGATTTGTGTGTTTCAGAGGGTCGAAGGCACGAGCACAGGGAGAGACACAAAGAGAAATATGTGGGACCGTCTAATCCGACGTGCATGTTCTCTGGGTGCAACCTGACCGCTGACGGGTGCGTGTGTGAGTCTCAGAGCTGCCATCACCACTTCGCCTACATCAACCGGAGCCAGTGCCAGGAAGCAGCAGGTAACCCTCAAATAATCCGCTGCTGATGAACACATATTCACCCCACTCCACATTATTTTTTTTTTACTTTTTTTTTTTTAATGAAGTTACATTTTTTTGAAATGTAACTTCAGAGTTACATTTACAGTTAAATGTTTTTTCTTTAGAAGTACGAGCATGGATTTGCAAAGATGAACCTAAGACAATTACATTTCTCCTCTAGTAAACAAAGTCATTGTAACAATGGCAGGGAATTTCTCGTGTCACAGCTCATTATACACGGACTTGCAATCAAATCTTTGCGGGTTGTTTTTGCAAAATAGGTCAAAGTCAGTCACTTTAGACATAGAACATCTGTGAACATTACATTTTAAGTCTTGATTCAGATTGTCAATTGGATTTAATTCTGTAATTTGACAGGCCCTAAAACACACTTTGAGCTAAAGCATTTCACTGCAGCTCTTTTTGGTAAGTTTAGGGTTATTGTCATGGTTTTTGTCATGCAGAAAGTCTTTAATGTCGTCCCTTTACCCATCAACTCTCGCCCAGCTTTCCTTTTTCTGCTGAAGAAAATCAAGAGACATTATGCTGTGTTGTAATGTTCTAGTTTGGGTATACAGCTTTGTTAGTTATATGTGTTATTTTTCTTACAAGGGCTTCGAATTTAGGTCAATACAAGTTTATTTGAAAAGCACATTTCAGAAAAAAAGGCGGTTCAAAGTGCTCTTAACAAGCTAAATTTTGTGATCATCTGACTAAACCACATTTCCCATGTTTCCTTTGTCTCTTGTTCCCTATGTGTGGTTGGCCATACAATTCGGGCCTGCAGTTATGCCCTCTTTTCCCCCATTTCTTAAAAGTGAGCAATGCTCCATGAGTTGATTAAACTGTGCTTTAAACTTCTCCATAACTTTATTGCTGGCCTGTCTGGTGTGTTCCGTACGGGACTTTGTTTACTTGCTGATGTTCTCCAACAAACTTCTGAGAGCTTTGTAGTACGTCTGTATTTATACTGTGATTAAACTACATACAGGTGTAATCTACTTTGTAATCTACTTGCTATTTATGTGGTGTCTAAAGCGAAGCTGCGCTGGGCATCAAAGTAAAGTGGGCTGAATAAAAATGCAAGTTGACACTGTTAAGATTGGCCTCCACTTCTCAGTTATGTAGTACTTTGCTTTGGGATATCCCACAAATTTATGTCAATATAAATGCATGCAGGTTTTAACTGGTCAAAATATGGAAATCATGGAAGGAGTGTGAATAGTGTGAATCACTTTGAAACGAGAAAATACAAAAGTTTTTTTTGAAATTCAGTGTTGGAATCTTTTGATGCAGTGCAGTCTCATTAAGTTGCAGCTTGCTTCCTAGCTTCTTCTGTGCCACTGGTGAAAAGGTGAATCATCTGAACAGATCAAAGAAGGTGTGTTTACCTTCGCTTTTGGCATCCTCTAAGATTGGCACTTGTACGTGGAAAAGACTATTGGCAGAGCAAGGGTGTATTTAGTTTTCTAGTTTAGACAGTGACCTGTCTGCTAGATACGTAGCTGCTAAGTGTTGACTTCCTGCTGAGTGCCACTCACAGAACAGAACTGGCTCTTAACTTTGAAGAATAATAAATAAAACTAATCGCTGCTTGAAAACTGTGTTCAGATCTGAATAAAAATAATCAGGTCCCTATTAGAAAAATCTGAGATGAGAAGCAGCTCTTTTCTTGCAGCGAGCCATAAAGACACATTCAAGTTTATTTAGTCTTCAGCTAATAGGTGGGTTATTACAGACATTCTCGGTTCTGTTTGTCTTGAGCCGTTTATGCAGTAAATCCCACAGGAAGCGTGTTCATCAAGCATCATTTTGTGCACACGCATCCAACAGAATAACCTCTGCCTTATCTTAGAGTCTGAGCCGAGTGGATGACTGTCTGAGCTCACACCAAAACAACATTTTTCAGCAGCTTATGAGTATTCATAGCAGTGCACATCTACTGCTCTATGTGGCTCATTATTAAGCAGAAAATCAGGATGTGTGAATCTGTTAGGTACTAAAGCTTTTAATGCATTTGGGGCAACAGACAAATGTAAAGGTGCACTGACTTTATTAACTTTCTGTGTGTGTGTGTGTGCGTGTGTGCGTGCGTGCGTGCATGCGTGTGTGTGTGTGTGTAATGAGCCTACGTATATGGGCTTGAGAACTTGTATGTCTGTGTGTGTTTGAGCGAGATAATTATCTTGTTTGTCTTGATGTCGCAGCAGAGATTTTCTTTTGTCTGCCGTCACTGGCAGGACTTTCCTCTGCTAACAGAATGAGATTCTGTGGTCAGGATATACACTCCCAGTTGGCTCCATGGTGACTCCCTAAACCAGACCCTAGTATTATAAAATAATACACATAAAGAGCAGTGTTTGTATGCCCTGTTGACAAATACAGTCTAATCTCAAGGCACAGGAGCTGTACAGATAAAACATGTCTTTACAACAATGTGTTTATTTAAGAGAAAATAGAGGGACGCTATTATCACATTTAGTTTAGTTTTCTGGACAGCTCTTAACTATACAGATATCTGTATTGAAATTGCATCTTACAGTACAAAAGGTTATCACAGTTTGTAACATTAATCACATAGATAATTTCAAAAAATAATCTTGGGAACAAATGAACGGTAGAAACTTCAAGCTGTTTTTGTAACCGGGATGTAATTAGCTAAAGTTTGGTATTTCAACATGGGCGCCAATAAGGGTTTGCGCGGTTTGTTTTAACCAGCTTTAATTGGCTTTTAAAGAAAATTCCAAATCTCTCAGGAGCTGATTGTTTATGTTGAAATTAGTCAGATAACAGATTTCAGCTTCAGCAAATCATTAACTTTTTGTCATTTTTCCCACTTTGTGACTGAAAACTTACATTTCTTTTGTTCTGATTTTATTAACATAACAAACCAAACTATTTTATGCTTGACAGATGTAACATTCAGTAACAAAATCTAATTTAAGAAGTATGATAATGACAATGAAATCTTTAAAGCATAAACTGTACACGTACAACAGCATGAGATAATGCGAGATATGCTGTTCTTTTGCTTTTATGCTAACATTGGGAAACTTGAAAATCTTTTTCCAGCTGTGGCTTAGTCAAATAAATGCATCCGTAATGGGAAATTGAGGAAATACGACTATGAAAAGCAAAGTCACATCATGTGGATCGTGCAAAATTCAACAGAACTCGTAAAGGAATTTTAAACAAAAACTCTAAACTACTTACAAATGTTTGACTTGTAACGCAATTGTGAAATGTGAGGAAAACTACATCTTGTTTCAAACTTTTTTGCAAACATAAATCTGGAAAATAGGCATGACAAGGCAAATTTACTTGTACAAGTACATTTGCCTTTGTTACTTCAGCAACAGAGTAATTGAAGTGTTTTACATGATGAAAACATGAAACAGCAAACAAAAGAAAGTGGTGAAAAGCTGGAATACAGACCACAATTAATGATGTTCCATTAATCAAAGGCAGCTCGGTCCAAATGAATTGCTAGCCTTGATTTATTAAAGGAACTCGGTGTTTCAGCATTTTTGCGGTTTTGTGAAATCTTGTTCCAGATTAGAGGAACATCAGTTCAAGGAGCGTGATTACATTTGGAAGGCACTGAAAGTCCAATTGGTTTTAGTGTTCAAATTGTTGCTTCAACAACATGGCTCTGTGTTCATTCACTCAAAAGATGCTGTGATACAATTCGATAACGGGTGCTGTTGTCATCTGTTTGTGCACAATTAGGAGCAACATGGGGAGCCAGATGTCTTACCCAGATGTCTGAGAGGAAGGAGGATGCGATAACTGCAGCAGAGAAAGGACAGATGTAGGAGGATAGGAAATGGAAATAGACACAAACCATTTTGTGAAGGTATTTGTGTACAAGCCCCCGGCGGGTCATTGCTGGGCAGTGTTTGGTAGTTTTACTGTCAGGAGTAGTTTACAAATTTCCATTAAGATAAGGCCCCAGACTGCTATTCCCGAGAGATTCCTCTCGTGTTGTGGAGCCAGCGATCGCAGGTTGTGAATGTTCTGTTTATTCATGCAACATTTCAACATCACTTGATGCTAATATATAATCACAGTAGTGGTAGATGTAAACAATAGAAGCAGTCACTCCCTCTGCTTTGTCATTAGAAGTGTTGCCCAAAAAGTGGGTGAAATGGGGCAGTGTGCCTCCCAGACATCTGGTAGTTCACATGTGATTCATCAGTCGGGGAAGTGGCGCCCACTGCAATGTCCATGGCACCGACTGAACTTGCTCTCACAAATCCGCTAGCCTACGTCTGCCACCTCCGTCCTGCCTCGCTGTGCCCTTGTGAAAGGACTGTTATTTCTGCTTGGCTGCAGCCTCTTTGTGACCAAGCTATTACCGGCCAAGCTAGACCCACACCGGCTGGCGAGGGCACGAGACGTCTCAGTCCTGATTGTTTGTGTGCCGTCTGAGGAATCCGCGGCCTCATCTTTTCCCAGGGTTTATCTGCGAAATTATGTGCCTTGCAAAAAGCTTCTTCACATTTTGTAACCACACACTTCAGTGCACTTTATTGAGATTTTAGACGATAGGCCAGCACAAACCAGCGCGTAACAGAAATGGGAAGAAAAAAATGCATCACTTTCTTAATCTGTTTTACAAATGCAAATGCGCGTGGCATGCATTCGCATTTAGACCCACTGCGTCAATATGTTGCGACTAGACGTCCAGGTCTTCAGGATTTGGCTTTCAACATTTACGTTGAAATTTTGCCTGTTCTTCTTTATAAAATACCTGACGCTCAGTCATGTTTCACTGTGAGGATGGTGTATATTCCGTTCTATGTTAGATTCTCTCCTCACATAAGGTTTTGCAGCATGTTAGAAAAGCTCAGTTTTCCTCTAAGAGCACCTTCAATCACAGTGTTGTTGTGCCCTCTATATGTTATGCAAACTGCCTAGTTGCAATCCTTGTTTGGTTTGCAGTGGTTCTTGCTGATCAAAACAAACCTTCACAGAAC